CAGAAGCGAAACCAAGAACTGTTACAAGATCTCAGACTTCACGTTCGAAGGTTCCGAGGGTTTCGAGAATTCTGAATGAAACTGCGTCAGGAAAATATCTTATCGATTCTACTTTCAAATGTAGCGATACTCTGACTGAGATACGAATGGAAACAGGTTCGTTAGCATATACGTTTCACCTGTGACTGGAGAACGACGAGCCGTTCGTTCCGCGGCGTGAATCCCGCGAAATATTGTAGATCGACTGGGCGAATCGTAAACGGCCACGAAACATCTGCAGCTGTGCGAGCACCATAGGAATTCCATAAATTCACCGGCGTACTTTTATCGATAACACGGATCTAAGCCGTGAAATAGTAACATAATTGGACGAGTGCGCGAGGCGCAAAACCGTGGCGATAATTTAGCCTGATGATAAGTCAGCGGATGCGAGGATGCATTAAAACGTTCCAGCTGGATACTCTTCGATCGACCGATTTATAATTGAAACAACAAAACTCGAAACATAAATCGTACAATAAGAATAATTGAAGAATGTATAATAAATAGGCTGCAGACTTTGAGCACTTATAGAACATTAAAACATATAAAGATTCTACGTACAGAATACACATTGCGAACCTCGAACGATTAAAGAAATTATACAAAATGCAACTGGTATAATAGTTGTTTTACTCTGGCTAAAAATGTGCGGTACAGATATAGTGGACAAGGTCCAAGTGAACCATCAATGGATGTATAAATCATCTTCATAACGACGACGACAAATACTCAATAATATCATAATCCAATAAAAAGCAGTCGCGAACAACCTGCCAGGAAACAAGAGCATGAAACCCTCCTCTATAAATCAACCACCCTGCAACGACTCGAACAACAATCGTTGGGGTTGGAGAACACGGAGGAAAATAAAAACGAGGATTAAAATACATAGCGGAGAGAGAAAGAGAGAGAGAGAGAGAGTGAAAGAAATACGAAGAAGAGGGTCCAGAACAAGAGGAAGAGGATCACGAAGGAAGGAGGAACGAGCCCGCATGTGACATTCGAGACACTCTCTGCCTCCTCCTCTAAAGAGAGAAAAAGGTAGATTGAATCGTCTCCAGCTGGTGCACACCTCACCAGTTTAATCCTTTTCCCCCTTTCACGTTTTAAGTCTCTCCTCCTTTGGCACGCAACCGGGCATTGTGGACTTTTCTCAAAAGAGGACAAAAGGATTCGCCGTGGCCATAGGAGAGAGCACGTGTGCCGGTGGCCAGTTAGGGGAAAACGGTCAAAGAGACGCCGAAAGGGACCAATTAGAAAGAGAGTCCGAGGAAGCAACCTCTCACGAGATCAGGAAAACTCCAGGGTTTTGAACAAGTTAATGGCCACTTATAGTACTCGCCTGGTTCCCAGAGGAACCGGGATCAAATATTTTTCTGCTTTGCTTACTCTTTCCACTCCAGAATCCAACAGATAAATACATTTTTTCTAACCATAGTAGGGCACTTGAAATTCTTCAGTAAGTTCCATAATAATTACAGAACCAAAATCTATATTATCTTCCCCAACTTAAATGTCGATTAAAAAATTCTATCAACGTACAAAAATGTCTATAATACAAGAAATATTATATTATATCATCGCTTTGCTTAATAGCAGCGATTTTATGTGATAAAGGAACATAAAAAAGAAGCAAGCTACTCGGATTAACAGCTACAATTACAGCTTCTTCTCTCTCTTACTCAGAAGACAAGGATCTTGTAGTAGTTGCTCTTTGATCTTCCTACTTGCTACGGTTACATGGTTTACGCGTTTCACGTAAACACTCTAAGTGGTCGGTGAGGGACTGTTATGGGAAAAAGCGGCCACCGAAGCCACTCCTGTGCAGCTACCGGAAGTGCACTTCTTCACGCATCGACGATCAATCAATTAACCTGCCTTCCAAATCTCTGAACCAATCTCTTGGTAAACCGTTATTAACTTGTCTCGACAGTAAATTTCATTTACACATCACTGCACATTTTCTCCTCGCGCTTAATAAATTATGATTTATACAAAATTACCTTTAAACGTTATAAT